CCCCAAAACCCCAAAACCCCAAAACCCCACTGCTAATAATAGAATTTCGAACTTTGTTTAAATAGCTCTTAGTTACATTTGAATTTAAATTATTAGAATAATTGACAAAGCAAAATAATGAGATCATTATCTTGTTGTGGAAAGAAATAGCCTAAGACCTATTAGGAAACTAGATAGCAGTTGGAGAAAAAGTACAATAAAGTCTGGCGATTCAAGGAAGATGAGCTTTTCGAATTCACTAAGAGGTAGGTAGTAATAAATACTAAAGATAAAAATTATATGATCTGTCTATCTGGCTTAGTCATATATACCCTCATATGATATTAATACTCAATTTAGATTTCAATCGCAAGCAGTAAACCATAAACTCTCGCATAAGAACTACAGAGAGTCTCTAGGAATCATAGGCATAGAATCGCTTTCGTTTATGTGTGATCGAATGTTCCATGTAATGGATAAGGATAAAGATGGCTTTGTAAGTGTTTACTCATTCATCCTTTGTTTTTCATAAAATTCTGCTTTATTCTGATACTATAAACTATTGCTAATATTTGCTCGCCCAACATGATTTGTTTATGCTTAATAGATTACATTGGAGGAGTATCTGAATTACACTGATGTCTTGCTTTACGGTACTGAAGAGGACAAACTAAAGTAAAGTTTTGAGCTTCTAGACGAGGGCAATTACGGATAAATCACATTCAATTAATTTAGAAAGATAGTTGGTTCCTTTGCATAGATGTGGTCAGCTGCTCTGGGATAGCCAAGTAACTATAGCTTTGATCCTAATCTTTTTAGCACCAATCAATCCTCGTTTCATTGCCAAGATATTTTAGACGCTCTCTGAAGGTAAAGAGTACTTTGATCTGGAAGAGTAAGTTATCAATTTCTTATGATTAACTCCCTAGTTTTAAGAGAGCTATGAAAGATCATCCTGATATGCTATTCTGGTTCTCAAAACCAGAAGAGGCAATGAATAAAAGACTCAATGATCATCTGGGGAAGTAGGCATAAAAGGAATAGAAGCTTAGAGAAAAAATTGAAACTCTTAAAGATAAGTTTATTGTCTATCAGAAGTCAATTCAAGTCAAATTATAGCAAGTTATTGATATTATCGGAGGTAAGTTATAATCATTATAATTACTTATTTAGGTGTTGTAACTCCACAGGCTAGCAAGGATATATCATTTATGTCATCCATTGAGGGCATTGATAAGACCAACATTAATTTCATTTAGAAAGCAAGACTAAAGAAGATGCCAGTAGGGAATGATTTGTTTATGAATCTATCTCACAAGGATAAGGACATTGAGTTTCCAAATGATGTGTTCAATAGTAAATCGCCAAAATCTCAGAGAATTAAAATGACTAAAGGCCTAAGAAAGGTCAAGACAAAAATTTTAACTAACAAAAATCAGACTAGTAGCTTGATGAACACCAATAAATTCAATCATACCAAGGGTTAAAGATCATTTGGCCAGTTGTTAGTTCAAAACAACCAAAGAAATTTCGATGTGATAGAAGAGGAGTCGCCTAAGATGATAGCAGGCGAAGACGTACTGGATAGCTCCATAGGTGTGAGTGAACCAAATACTCATTAAAAGAAGAGATAGATGTATTTTGGCTAAGATAAGTCACCTTTAAGTTTAAGAAATCAATAGACATTCGTTAAAAAGAAATCTCTGCCCACTAGCTTTGATAGAAAGAAATATGAAAGTCATCCAGAAAAAGATCCACGTTTGATTCCCTAGGTTAATAGGCTGTCCGACATTGAGGATAGGCAGTTTGTTTTCCCAAATCATCTAGGAGAAGATAATGATGAAAAGAATGAGTCATCTATCTTTGAAAGAGACTCCCAGTCCAATCTAAAACTTTAATATGGTAAGATTAAAAGTGCTTTAATAATTTATAAAAGATGATTACTAATTTGAGGGAGGGGAGTCAGAGGAAAGTAAAACAGATGCAGCTAAAAAACATCAGAATAACCAGAGACAAAATCAAAACAATGCTCAGCATGCTAATACTGAATATAATTTGTCCAGTCGCCTGCATAATATTCAAAACAATCCACCAAGCAATTTGAACATTAATCAGTTTTAAAATACACAGACTTAGCCTAACTATCATAGCTAGGGTTCAAATATGCAATTTAACAGAACAATAAATGAACACGATATTGAACTTAACTTCTCTAAGTTTGATGAAACAAGATCTCTAGGAATTGGTATTGAAGCTCTGAAGGATATTCATCTGCAGTCTAATCCCCACTACCCTGGCCAGATATTCTTTGTGGAGTCCCCGCTTCAACTTGAGCTTATCTAGTCCTAGATGCTTTATAATGAAGATGATGATAACTCTGACTCAGATTCTTCTGACTCATCTTCTAATAGCAGCAACTCAGACTTAATAGGGCCTAGCGAGAATGAGAGATTTGAAGAGAACTTCAATCTAGGTAAAATGGATAAAAACGAGAGAGCACTTATCTAAAAAATTCAATAAATGCAGAAGTATCTAGATGGCCCCTAGAACTAGATGAGACGACCAACTTTAAGCGAACTCAATAACATTACTAACAGATCAAAACATACAACCAGACTTCCAGCGATTAATCATCAGCAGACTACTGCTCATCACGATAAGATTACCTAACAATAAACACTTCCATAGATCTAGTTAAATCACAATTTAACTCAGAGGACAGATGCCAACAAGAGGGGCTTCAACTCATCAATATAAGAGTTTAAATCAAGCATATCAACAAATCGTAACTTAGTTACCATAAGACAGAAGGCAACAGTAGCTTGCTAGACTGAATACATTGCTCCAGCAGCGGCAGCTTAGCTAAACAACAGATTGTCAGTGAATACTAACAACAATCAGTAGCTTAGTTTAAGTGCTCATAAAAACCAAGAGTCAATGATGACATTTGCTGTTAATCAGCCAGGTCTCAATCTACTCTCTGACTAAACAAAGCATGAATCTATGCTAGCAGGTCCAGTAGTAGAAGGTGATAAGGGTGAAATTATGCCAGAATTAATAGTAGATGACGAGATGTGTTTCTCCATCAGAGACAAGGCTACTGGCTCGCCTCAAGTTTACGATAAGATAAATTTCAGACTTAACCAAGGGTAGAAAATGCTGCACAGCTTGATAAAATTTATCAATGAGCAATAGGAATTGTTTGTGAGTAACTTCCTATCGATGCTAATTGTAGAGTAAAATGAGGACAACATGAATTTCTCTGCTACACTGTAGAATCAGATCAGCTAAAACATCCCTAAGACTTTGATAAAGAAGAGGAACAGGATATTGAAGCCTAATAAGTCTCAAGAGCGTTCAAATATTCCAGACAATGTAAAGATGATCCATCCTGCCCACGAGAACTTCAATCTTGTATTCAACATCATGCTTGGTATTAAGAAAGCTATTGACTCCACTCTCGATATACCACTGCTAGAACCCACTGAAATAGACTTCAAGATCAGATGTAAGCATGAGCTCGCTCCATTTAGAACATCGCAGAAGGACAACATTAAAGCCTGCACCTTTTACGACTATGCGCCACAGATCTTTGCCAACATCAGGAAGACTTGCTGCATCAAGAAAGCTTAGTACTCCAACTCACTTGGACCTGAGCATATTCTCGGCTATATGTTTAATGCTAAATTCCAAACACTGGCAGAGTTGTGTTCAAGTGGAAAGAGTGGTTCATTCTTTTACTACACAGCAGACGGCAAGTTCGTGCTCAAGACCATCTCTAGGACAGAGTTCAAGTTCCTCAAGAGGATTCTGAAGGAGTATCACAACTATCTCACTCTCGAAAATAATGAGTCTATTATCAGTAAGGTGTTTGGACTGCACAAGGTCATTTTCTACAGAAAGAAACACAATAAACCAAAGAAAGTGTATTTTACAATTATGAGCAATGTGTTCAACACTCATAAGAAAATAGACAGAAGATTTGATCTCAAGGGTTCCACCCAGGGTCGTCAGACTATCAAGCCTAATGACCCAATTCAAAATGGAGACCCCACTATTGCTCTGAAGGATCTAGACTTCCTGCGAATTAAGGAGAAATTCAAGTTGGAGGGAAGCATTAAGAAGCGGATGATGGAGACGATCAAGAAAGACGCCATGTTCTTTGCCAAGAACGACATCATAGACTACTCTCTGCTGGTGGGCATTCACTACAAGAGCAAGCACTCTCCTACTAATGGCAGCAGACTCAACAGCGAGCAGTCAGACTTCTCAGCTCCTATGCACAGTACCTAGAATGTCCATGTCAATCAGATGTACTACTCTTCCTATGACAGGTTCTCAAACGCGTCCTTGGTCAATCAGCCACCTTTGTACGAGATGTGCGAGCAGGGCATCACTAGCATTGAGAAGTCGTGTGTTTACTTTATCGGTATTATTGATATCCTCACTGAGTATAAGTAAGTTCACTAAATTAATCTTAATTTCATAACTACAGCACATTTAAGAAGCTAGAGCATGCGCTTAAGAGCATCAAGTACAATAGCAATCAAATCAGTTGCGTGCCGCCGCAGCAGTATGCCAACAGATTCCTCGCCTTTATAAACGACGCTTTCTAATGAACTCAAAACTTATATGTTTGATGAAGATATTAGATATTTGATTAAAATCTTATCAAGAGCCTTTAAAATTCTTTTAAAATACTTTAAAATTTATATTAGTTTTAATTATTAAAGTTTTAATGGAGAATATCAACAATCTAGGCTAGATCCAGCCAAAGAACGAAAACAATACCAAGCATGCGAGAAAAGAGAGTTTTAACAACGAAGCCTCGGATTCGTATTCTAAGTTTGATCTGCAGGAAAAAGAAGGTCCACTCTATAGAGTAATTAAACAATTTTACTTAACTTATCAAAAGCCTGAATTCAACAATGATCTCAGATAAGATGATAAAAATTAGAAGATATGGGGACTCATGGGATAGTATCTGGGCAGAGATATGTCATCTATTCAGAAATCTATAGTCGGGCACGTAGAATACACTTTAGCTATGACTAGATTTAATTTCTCTAATTTCGTAAGTAATCAATGAATCCCTGATAGTATACTTTAGGGATGTTCTTAAGCTGTAGCATACTCATTGAGAGACAGAATGATAGAGTGTTTCAACGATACCAATCAGTACTATCTGGTAAGATATTAATTAAATTATGATGAGTTAGCACAATGATGTGAAGAGAGTATATTTCTTATCTATGGAGTATATATTTGGGCGCATGATGCAGAGTAATTTACTCAATAATGACTTGGAACCAAAATACAGGGAAGCACTCCAAGATATTGGATATGATTTAGTAAGTTAACTTATCTTTGCTATATCCTTTATCTTTCTAAGGATTCATTATTAACAATAATACTTAGCATGAACTTTACGAGGAGGAAATCGATATAAATCTAGGATATGGAGTATTGGGCAGGATTGCTGCTGATTCAGTTGATTCCTTATGTTCAAAGAATATTCCTTGCTGGGCATATGGGCTTAGATACGATTATGGAATTTTTAGACAGGATGTGGTTGATTTTGAATAAGTAGAGAGACCTGACTACTGGCTAGAAAAGGGAAATCCTTGGGAAATTGAGAGACCAGATATGGTATATAAAGTTAGAATGTATGGGAAGGTAAGGAAGGAGAAGCTATAAGACCCAGTGACTAAATTGACTAATGAAAAAGCCTACTGGGAAGGCGGCGATGTATATCTTTCCTCTGCCTATGATATGCCAGTAACAGGATATAACACATTTAATACAAACAATCTTAGACTTTGGAGATCCAGACCATATGATGAATACGAGGAATCTATGTATGAAGATGATCAAGATTATTACAAGTCTGTTGAGAAATTGTAAGAATCAGAGTATATATCATCAATATTCTATCCAAATGATAAGGTTTAAGGAGGTAAAGAGCTGAGATTAAAGCAGCAATACTTTTACGTTGCCTCTACACTATAGGACATCTTTAGACGTTTCACTAAGGTCAGTTCACATAAATTTGAATAGTTTGAACTCAAAAATGCAATCTATTTACATGAAACTCATTCAGCTATTGCTATGCTTGAGATGCTTAGACTTCTAATAGATGAGTATAATGTGTCTTGGATTGATGCATGGAACACCACACATAGAACATTTAGTTGTGGTTTTTACAATATCAAAGAAAGTCAGATGGAGAAGTGGCCTGTGGACATGTTCAGTAGACTGCTGCCTAGACATATGGAACTGATCTATATGATTAATCATTTGTTCTTGGAGAAGGTCAGGAAATTCTTCCCTTAGCATGAACACCAAGAAAGAATGCGCAGAATGTCCTTGATTGAAGAAAATAATCCAAAGCAAATCAGGATGGCTAATCTCTGTCTAGTGATTTGCAACAAGATTGTTTTATGCAGTGAGCTTCAGTTTCATATTCTGACGACCACAGTATTTAAAGACTTCTATGAATTCCTGCCTAAATCATTTGAACTTATTGAAAACGGGGCTAATCCTCGTAGATGGATTCACAATTGCAACAGATCCCTTTCAAAGTTGATCACTGAAGAAATAGATGACGAATCTGAATGGCTTATGAATCTGAATTTACTTGCCCCTTTCGCAGGCTACACAGAGGATTTGGAATTCTTCAATAAATTCTTGAATGTCAGAGCTGAAAATAAAATGAGATTGCTAAACTGGATCAAGAAAAAGTCACAGTTTGATGATTTCATTCTGAAACTTAAACAAGAAAATGTCAAGAATATCCTATTTGACTTCATGGTTAAAAGAGTTGATGAGAACAAAAGACAGCTTATGTACCTGCTTTACATAGTGCACAGATACTGCTAGATCAAGCAAATGAAAGATAAATCGAATTTAGTTGCTAGGTTCCATTTCATAGGAGGAAAGACTGCCATCGGTAATACTAGGTCTAAATCAATAGTGAAGCTAATTAACCAAGTTGCATTCAAGATTAACTCAGATCCAGAGACTAAACATTTATTGAGGATAATCTTCATCCCGAACTACAATGCATCGAAAGAACATCTTGTTGTACCAGCAGCAGATTTCAACCAGCAAATCAGTTTACCAGGAGAAGAGGCTTGCACGACTATATCTGAGAAATTCTTATTAAATGGGGCATTAATCTTAGGATCAAAAGACTCAACAAATACGACAGTAATGAAGCATATTGGTGAAGAGAACATTACTCTGTTCGGATCTAATTATGAAGAGTCTCTGAAATTAGTAAAGAAATCCACTAATCAATAGAGGAAGGAACTAATTTGTCAAGAGTTCAGAGACACTGTATATAAGATAGTCAATAATGAATTTGGTGAATGTGATCAGCTTATCAGAGAACTTTTAGAGAGTATCTGTGAGGGCAATGACCCACACCTAGTAGGCGTTGATTTCAAATCATATATCAATGCGCAAATAGAAGTTGATAGAGTCTACTAAGACAAGAGAGAATTCTGCAAGAGAACTATGATTACTATGTCACAGCTGGGCAATCTCTCAGTGGACACCTCAATTCAAAAGTTCTGTGATAAAGTTTGGAAGATCAGTCCAGTCGATGTTCCTAAACCCTCCTAAACTGCTAATAATAGAGTAGTTAGCTCAACTAATCTCCTTGCTGGAATAAGGAGCCAAGATGATTTAAATCAAAGTAAGGCAAGTATGGATGATCTAAGCAATAACAGTGATAATATTGAAAATGGAGACCATAAGATATGAGAGTATATACTCAACCACAAAGATTTGATCTATTGACTGAGATTTTTTAATTCTTAATTTCATAATTATCATTTTAAATTCTATATTTGCAATGTGGGGTTTTGGGGTTTTGGGG